ATATATATATATATATATATATATATATATATATATATATATATATACACACACATTTAATTAAATAATTTAATTAAATAATTTAATTAAATGTATCATTTATCATTTGTATCATTTGTTTAATGTATCATTTAATTATTTAATACATCATTAAATATACAATTAAATTCAAGGAAATGTCATTTTCAAGAATGTGTCTAATGATATTTACTTATTTAATGTTATTATTTAAAAGGTACATTTATTTATTTCATGGGACATTTATTCAATTAATTGTGTAGTTAATAATTTTATTGCATATTTAACGATTTAATGATGTACTGGATAATTAAAGGATACATTTAATTATTATGTATTTATTTATATTAATTTGTCACATTGCACCCTCCGTACTTCCACACCAAACTTTACTGAACAATTGCCAAACTGGTTGAATTACAACTTTTGTTGTTTGTTTGTTTTCCAGAGTTAGCTGGCTGTTGCAGCCCTTTTAAATCGGGTCGGCTCCAAAAATTAATCGGTTGAAGATTTGCAACCAATTTCTGAGAGTGTTTTTAAAATTTGTCATGTCATTCATGAAACATTTTGCCAACAGTCACAAACAAACAAACAAAACTTTATTGAATTTCTTTTATGAGTGGGTGATAAAGAGCCACTTTTAACTTATAAAAGCATCTGAAGCTATTTGCCAGAGCAAAATTTGAAGAATAAAACAAAATGAATGAAGCTCAGACAACTTGTAATTTGTGCCCTTATATTGTTTACAAATGGGTAAATTGTTATTTTGGCCCTGTCTTGTTTTTAGTGTGACAGTGAGTTTTGTGGTAATTCAAGCTTTATTTTTGCTTCATAAAGACTGAGCAGGACCATATAATAGGAACACAACATTGTGAAGTTTTAACAAAAGCCGAACACTTCAGGATGAGTAGAAAATTCTAAAACATTACGAGGCTAAACTTGAGATTTCTGTTTCACCAAACTGCCTGACACAAAACTATTCTCTGTGTGTTTGGTCATTAAAACCTTGTTGAGAAAACCAGGTTTAAAGAAAGTTAAGAGTCAAAGCTGGAAAAACTGAAGAAGGGAGCAGAGACAGACAGCACATTTGTGTTACTGACAGAATAACAGAAACACGTATTTAATAAATACTACTGAGGCATTTTATTAAACCTCAAGTACTTGTAGCTGGAGACCACTTCCACTGCAGATCCTCCTACATTCTGGGGAGGGGCAGGAGGGTAGGTGTGTTTGTTCCATCTTAAGTGCTCGACCATCTTCTTCGTCTTCTTCACATTGATGTGAAGGTTGTTCTTCCTGCACCAGCTCTCCAGGTGTTCCACCTCCTACCTGTAGCAAGACTCATTGTTTTGTGATGCATCCCACCACTGCTGTATCATCTGCAAACTTTATAATATGACAGCCTGGATGGGTAGGTGAACAGTCATATGTGAGCAGAGTGAACAGGAGAGGGCTCAACACACAGCCCTGAGGGGAGCCAGTGCTGAGGGTTATGGTGGAGGAGGAGAAGTTGTGGATCCTCACTGACTGCAATCTGTTTGTTAAGAAGTCTAGTATCCAGTTGCAAATGGAGGGGCTTAGTCCCTAGTGTGGATAGTTTGTCCATCAGGGTTTGGGGAATCATGGTGTTGAAGGAGTACAGAGTACAGTTTGTGGACCAACCTTTGTTTATGTAGCCGCACACTCCCCCTCCGCATGTCTTTCCCGTTTGTTAGCTGCAACGGTCCGCTCGAAAAAATATTTTCTATATTATATTTATATTTGATGATCTAAGCATGTTTTTAAAGGAGTTTTTAAAAGACAAAATCATTTATTAGATTATCCAAAAAAGTTCAATCTGGTCCTCTGGACATTAAAAAAAAACAAAAAACAAAACAAAGCAAAAAAATCTAGAAACGTTTCGTCTCTCATCCAAGAGACTTCCTCAGTCTGAGGACTTCTTCAGTTTTTTTTTGAATGTCCAGAGGACCAGATTGAACTTTTTTGGATTTTTCTACCTGGATTATTGAGCATGCATCAGGATATTTATTAGATTAGTTTGACTGCTGCACATTGGCATATTTAATAGAGCTGCCACCTCTCAGTGAGCAGGTTGCCAGTTCAAATTCCAGCCGGGAGACCTTTATGGGTGGAGTTTGCATGTTCTCTCCGTGCATGTGTGGGTTTTCTCTGGGTACTCTGTTTTCCTCCCACAGACCAAAAACATGCATGTTAGTCTGACTGGTGACACTAAATTGTCCCTAGGTGTTAGTGAGAGAGTGAATGGTTGTTTATCTCTGTGATGGACAGGAGACCTGTCCAGGGTGTCCTCTGCCTCTCACACAGTGACTGCTGGATATGGGCACAAGTGACCTGACATGAAAAGAAAGAAGTGGGTAAAGGTGATGGGTGGATAGATTAGTTTGAGTCAAAAATAATAATTTCTAAAGAAAAGTACAAGTATCTTGCATTATCCTCAGCATTTCCACAAAAATAATAAAAATAAATAATAACATAAAAAATGTTGCAATGCCTTTTAAAGCAGTGATTGTCAGTTTGTGGCCCATGAGCCATGTCTGGGCTGCAGATATTATAAAGTAACCATCGTAGCTTTCTCTGTAGAATGGTTGATCAAATATTGATGTCCAGCCCAGAGCAGCATGTGAAATTAGCAAAACATAACATTTTAGATCCTGCCCACAATCAAACTCTATATTCTTCAGAAAATGCTTCACACAACTGTAAATTACACACAATCACAAAAAAAGGAATAAGTGGATCAGAAAGGAGTCATGACAGTATTTGACCTGTCTTTATTCACTCCCATATGTGTACACAATTTTGTTCCAACTAAAGCACCACATGTGATGTGAATGACAATTAAGAACCTTGACCTTGATGATCAAACTCAACTCAGACGATGAAACACAGATGCAGACAGACACATGGGGATTACAGAAAATAAACATGGTTATTAAATAAACATAAACAAAAGGCTGATGTGGCAGCAACAACTTGCACTAAATCCAAAAAAGTTCAATCTGGTCCTCTGGACATTCAAAAAAAAAAAAAAAAAAGCAAAAAATCTAGAAACGTTTCGTCTCTCATCCAAGAGACTTCCTCAGTCTGAGGTGCTGTTTTCAGCTCAGTCTCTTAAATAGCACCTTCTCAGAGTGGATCAACCAGTTTGCTGCTGACAACCAAAACCAGCTGGTCACATGCTCAAGAAGGACCATCAGCCTAACAATGGATCATTAGCACACTGACGGCTGTTTACTATTCACAGAGGGCTGAGTGATACTAGCAATCACAGCATTGTAAGAGGGGGACAGTTGAACCCAGAGGCCTCCACCCCTGTTTAATGATGGACAGTTTCTTTTCACAAAGATGGCCTCCTTTACTCCTCTCTCAAACCATCGTTCCTCTCTGTCAAGGATGTGAACATCTTCATCCTTGAAAGAGTGACTGCTGGCCTGGAGATGAGTGTAGACTGCAGAATCCTGGCCTGATGATGTTGATCTTCTGTGCTGGGCCATCCTTTTGGCCAGTGGCTGTTTAGTTTCCCCGATGTAAGACTGATCACAGCCCTCCTGACACTGAACAGCATACACGATATTACTCTGTTTGTGCTGGGGGACTGGATCTTTGGGATGAACCAGTCTTTGCCGTAATGTATTTTGGGGTTTAAAAGCCACTGGGACGTTATGTTTAGAAAATAGACGTCTCAGTTTCTCTGATACTCCCTCAACATACGGAATGACCACTGGTCTGGGTTCCTCCTTTTCACCTGATGGCTGACTGGAGTCCTGTTTGGGTTTCTTCTCTGCTTTCAGGAAGGCCCAGTTAGGATATCCACATTGCTCTAGAGCCTGTTTTGTGTAGGATTTCTCCTTCTGCCTGGCTCCCGAGTTAGTGGGGATGCTGTCTGCTCTGTGATACAGAGTCCTGATGACTCCTAACTTGTGCTCCAAAGGGTGATGGGAGTCAAACTGCAAATACTGGTCTGTGTGGGTGGGTTTGCGGTACACCTCGGTTTGCAAATGTCCTCTATCAGAGACTGAGACCTCACAGTCCAAGAAAGCCAACTTGCCATTTTTTACATCTTCTTGTGTGAAATTGATGTATTTATCCACAGAGTTGATGTGGTCAGTAAAATGTTGGACTTCCTAAGATTTAATTTTAACCCAGGTGTCGTCAACATACCTGAACCAATGACTTGGTGGTGTCCCTGAAAAGGACGTCAAGGCTCTCTTTTCTACCTCCTCCATGTACAGGTTGGCAACAATAGGAGAAACTGGAGACCCCATAGCACACCCATGTTTCTGCCTATAATATTGCTCCCCATATGTGAAGTAGGTTGACTGCAGGCACAGTTTCAAGAGTTGACACAGTTGTTCTGTGGAAAGCGTGGTCCTGCTGCTCAGAGTGGTGTCTGATTTTAATCTTAAACTGACCACCTCTACTGCATCATCAACAGGAATGCACGTAAAGAGTGATGTGACATCAAAAGAGACCATTGTTTCATCAGTCTCCATGATGACATCCCTCACCTTATCCACAAAGTCCATGGTGTTCTGTATG